CTTCTTCTTCTTCTTCTTCTTCTTCTTCTTCTTCTTCTTCTTCTTCTTCTTCTTCTTCTTCTTCTTCTTCTTCTTCTTCTTCTTCATGCTCTACAGGATGAAAAAAGCGCTAACGTTTGGGCTAACTCTCGTCCGACAGTAAGTGTTATTAAAGCTAATTTGGTGCTACAGTAACTCTCCTATCTGCTGCTTTCCAGTCCTTTTCACAACGTACGATGTATTTAACAATTAAAAAGTTAAATTATGCTTATATATGGTTGGGAAATGCTTTATAAATCCCGTAATAGCTTAGCTTAAATCAGCCCGAGGACGTGYAGCAGCAGGTGTCTTCATGGCTCATGACAGGACTTGATTTTCAGCGTGTTGGGGTTGAAATAACAACAACAAATGAGTGATTATAGCGTCAAAGCAAAAATATTAAGAAGGGTTTATTTAAAAAGGAAAACTTTTACTAGAAAGCAAAGTTTCACGGCTTATAATTCAGCTTCAAATCACTTCATTAAATCTGCACCCACTGCAGTGTCTCATAATGACCACAAGGGGGCGATAATCAAACTCTTACATGGAAAGTGTACTTTTTCCACAAAAGGTTACATAATGAAAGCTGAAACATGAGGAGTTAAAGCAGAAAAGATGCTAAATTAAGATAAAACTCATGCTGAAGCTACTGTTAGCAACATAATAGCTAAAAAAGCAAATCAGATGGTAAAACTATCAAACTTAATAATCAGAATTATGAACAGAAATACAAATATTCTAATTTGAAAATTCAGTGACTTAACTTTTTTTTTACTAAATTTATTTTCCATAGTGGGGAAACAATTTATAACAAAAAAGGACTGTTACAAGGTATGAAAATTTAATATTTATTGTTCACATAATAACGTCTTTATAAAGTCGTCTTGTTGTGTTTTATGCTTTATTATCACTTTCTTTCCCTCTCTGTCCTCCCAGGCCAGGCGATAGACTCCCCCTTATCTGAAGCTGGGCTGCAGCAGGCCGAAGCTGCAGGACTCTATCTGAAAGACGTTGTGTTCAGCAACGTGTTCGTCAGCGATATGCTGCGGGCACGACAGGTGAGATGTTTCAGGACGACACGGTTTCATGCATACTTAAATAAAAGTGTCTTTAAATACTCACCTTAGATGGATGGGCTGATTTTGATTTAAATATTTCTCAAGCCATAAATGGCCTTGTATAAAAAGATAACCTARATTTTTTTTTCTTCCTTCCAGACAGCTGAACAGATAATGCAGCACAACAGCAGCTGTTTGGGTCTACAAATGGTGTGTGACCCGTTACTCAAAGAGAAAGTAAGTGACATGTTTTATGTAAATTTTTTACAGCAATATTCACTTAATTAAACATTTATTTGAGATGAGTTTAAACATGAATCTTTTGTGGTAAAATGTTTTTATTTAGAGCTTTGGGACCGCTGAGGGGGGACAGGTTCAGGACTTTAAAAAGATGGCCAAGGCAGCGGGTGAGCCGTTTCCAGACTTCACCCCTCCAGGTGGGGAGACTCAGGAACAGGTGAGACTCTGTCTGTCATTACAGCATAAATATATGTAATATTGTTGATTTCATACCATTCTTTGTCATTAACATCTTGAAGTTCTGTCATAAAAGCAAATAGGACAGTAGATATAATCCAGGAAGACTCTCTGAATAAATAGTAAGAACCTAAAATTAATTTAAAACTTACCAGGAGCCAATCCCAGTTCAGTTGTATGTTTGTTTCACGTATAAATTAAAGTTTATTTTATTAAGCATTTATCTTTTATAGTGATGCAGTACACATTTACAGCCACTAGATGGCAGAAAACACTGACTCTTCCAAGGAGGTTTAATAGGTTATTATGTTCTTATTCAAGTCCATGAACTCTTCAATGATGGTCATTTGTGGTGTTTATAAATTTCTTACACATCTGCTTTTTTGTGAAACAGAAAGCTGCAACTGAAAAATGATGAAATGTCAGCACTTTGTCATCATTTTAAATCACTTTCTGGAAGGAAGATGTGTGAGAAGTGGTGCTGAAGCACAACCTGTGAGCAGAACATGGTGTTTATGATGCAATCGTTCATAAATAGATTAAGCACAGAGTGCCCCAGTTCTTGGCTCAGTGCTTGTAAATAATACTGCACCGTGTGTTTTTCAACCTTTGGATTTTTTTGCAGCATTGTGTTGATTTTGAGGAAGTAAAAAAAAAAAACTGATCGTAACTTGTTTGTGTTCTGTTCAGGTAACGGAGCGAGTCAGAACATTTTGGGAGAAAATGCTTCAACAAATGGGGGCCGAACACTGGAACGACAGAGACCGGGAGGAGCTCAGGTCCGCCGCCATGCCCCCAGAACCGCCTCCTGTCGAGGGGAGAGCAGACGACGGTGTGAGGGATGTCCCGCTCCACGCGTTAGTCATTACCCACGGAGCGCTGATGCGTGTGGCGCTGCGCTACGTCGTGCAGGAGCTGAACTGCAGCTTGCCTTGGGGTTGTGACGAGGTACACATGTTCTCTTTAAGTCCAAACACGGGACTGAGCCGCTTTACTCTGACCGTTACAAAACAGGGTGACAGGTTCGTTCTGTTAGACATCCGCTGTGTGTTCGTCTACAGGACGGATCATATTAAAACATAGGATCTGCTTTTTATTATTATTTCAGGAACAAAATACAGAAAACTTATTTTATCAAATATTTACAGGTAGAAAATGAACTGTAGAAGCACCATTTGTTGAAAACAATTGAAAATATATTTATTTGCAGCAAAGAAATACTTAATATAACTC